CACTCACATGAGAAGATACTGTAGCTCTGTGCATCAAACAGTGTCAGGTCTAGGATATGATAAGCTTTGATACCATAAAGACTGGAACTGCAAGCCTAGCTACATAGTGAAAATATTTTATTTTTTTAAAACTCTAACACTGTCTGATTTACACATTACATACTGTGAGCTGGCTGGTAAACGAGCAGCCTGGAGGATTTAGTTTGTGGTAGTAGTTCGGGCTCTAGACTCTATTAAACGAACAGGACTTTTGAGCACACAGGAAGTGTTTGAGAGTTTAGTTCAGTTTGCGATAGATAGATAGGGAACCTCCAGCCTTAAAATAAAAAGTCATAACATTTTTGTTCTGTGATAACACACACTGACAAGCTTGACAGAATCTGAGACAGTCAAAGCCATAGAAAGTCAACTTGGACCCTTGTTCCTGTCTGGCTACTACACAATCCTCAGGCACTGATGATTTGACAAAAGTCTGCAAGAATATCTGCAGCTGATTTCTTTGCCAAAGTGTAATACCATTCTTGTGAAGATGCCACATGTGTCAGCCAGCGGTAACCCCAACACTGATCTTCTTCCTCCTGCTTGTAGTTTTGATGATTGCAGCACCTGTCAATGTTACCCTGGAAGTATACACTGTGATCTGCTACACAGATTTTCTTCTCAATGAGTCTGACTGCAGTATTATAAGAATAGCACACTACCCTGCCCCTCCTCAAGTGAAGATTGATGCACTCCATGTGTCATATCCACTTGACAGGTTGTAACGTTACTGATAGCAGTGTCAGCATCCACTGCAGAGAGCTAGAGACTTTATAGGGGCACGTTAATGAACAGAACCGCCATCTCTTGGCAACGGTTCTCCAGTGTTATACCCACGTGATGTAAACAATGATGATCTCCCTACTCCTTCTAGATGCCACTCCAGGTCTCCCTGTCCATGTACAAATGCTAGCTTTACCCTCATGTGTTATACAAGAACCATACATGAGTTTTATTCAACCTTACCTGGGATTCCTTAATGCCTTGTCGTTGGAGGGGCCTAACGATTTTATGTTACTCGGGTCATTCTTTTATAACAGTTCTATTAAACTCCTATTACATTACAGTTAGGAAAGATTTTTGAAGTTTGTATCTTATCACATATATCTCTAGAAATCTGGCAGATCTGCGTCAGTATTGAACATGTTTTTGTATTATTTCCATATAAAAGAAAAACAAATTAAAATGATCCAGGTCTGCCATTAAGAACCTTCACAAAGCAGATTAATAAAAAGATATTGAAAAGCATCTTGATTACCCCATAGTGGCTGTTTGTAATGTAGGTCATTAACCCTGGCTACAAATAACTTACTAGTTTTGTAAGACAGCAACCTTATACAGGATATTTGGACTTACCTTAAGTAGGGTAAGTAGAAGTGGAAATGCTTCATCTGTCTTTATTTAGATTCCAATGTGATGAAAAAAAAAGAACATAAATCCTGGCCAACTTGCCATTTTGGAATCACTGCAGAGTTTGATATGTCTTTGCAAGCCATGCATGGCTCTACCAAAGGTTCAGGATTTGTTTAGACAAGGTGTTTTGGCTGAAACCAGCTGCAAGTAGCATTATCTACACCATAATCATCACTATAATCTGACACTTTGCCATAAAGAAGCAGATTCAGCCATCGCATTAGAGGTTAGTATGATATAAGAGCTCAAAACCTTAGTATGGCCCCAAAAAGATGTTACAAAAATGTAAGTGGTTTATAATAAGAAATAGGTTTCCTAACTGAGTTCAAATGTCCCGTTTGAGTTTTATATTTTTTAAATACAGTATCATATCAAAAGATGATCATGTACTATCGAATTGTCCAGTTTTTGAAATTGCTGAACTAAACACACCCCTGACTTCTCCCTGTTCAGGACTCTTCAGAATACCCATTCATCAATTATTTTATTCATCATACAAGACAAATCCAGACTGATCAGAATGCATTATCCCACATAATTACTTAATTTTTGATTATACACTAACAAGTGAAATTATGTTTCGATTTGGAATTTGCTGTCTGCTTTCTTAAGTTTGTTCCTGTAATGAAAGTGTTTAAGTTTAATCCCCAACAACCCCTTGTGTGAAGAGGTTAGTATCAGCTAACGCAGTTGGCAGCCGTCTGCTGATGCCACTGCAAATGCCAAAAAGTACACCATTTAGAAAATTTATTGCATCAAGGAACTGGAAGCAAATAAAAAAAATATGACATTGGACCAGGACTAAATTACGTTTGGTTTAAACTGTTACCATATTACAGGCTTGAATCCTGAATGTAACCTGTTACAACATGGCCTGTTTAAGATTAATCTTTATCAGTAATGTGCATTAAAGCTACAGTGTGGAATTTACCACTGACAATGTGTAGAGGTGCTATTAGAGGCCTCTGTGAGCCAGACTCATTGAAGGGCCTGGCCACAGAGCAGAGGTGTTCCCCTCTAAAATGACTGAGCAGGGGAGTTCATACATTAGCTGAGACAGCATGACAAAGCAGGGAGAGAGAGGAGTGGGAGAAGCAGTTGAGTGTTTTGTCTTTGAGTGTCATACTAATGATAGCTTTATATATTGTTATCATTTGAACATTTAATGTGTGGTGCATTTATTTTTTCTTCAATCACAATATTTTACAGAGGTTTTGAGAGGAATCTGGTGATCCATTTTCTAAGTCTGGTATAAATTCCTTATGTTAACTCCTACTGTATTTTTTTGTTTTGTTGTACTCGTTTTGGCCACAAACGACTTGGGTGCTCCCCAGTCAAAATAGGACTAAAGGCATTAGTGTTTTCTTCCAGGTGATTTTTAATATCTACATGCACTCCAAACACAAGTTACATATATTGTGCGAGTATGCGGCATTACTGTCAATTTCTTTCTTTTGGCAACTCATGTATTTTAATTTTCTATTGAAAGTAATGTAGCGTAAGTTGCTAAAACACTAAATAGGTTCCGCAAGGAGTAATTAAAAAATCACCTAGAGGACATGAATGCTTTCAGGCCTGTTTAGACTTTCACAGTGATGTAAATAACTCAGAAAAATCATCCAAGCAAAAACTTTGTTTAACCTTTTCCAAACTTTTTAGCAAATGTTTTTCTCCCCAGCTTCTCAGGGCTTGCATTTTTTTTGTTTTTTTTTTATCAGCCACATCAATCCTACATGTATGCACAACTAAGGGATTCATTTTATTCCAGCTAAACTTCTGTTTGCACAATAACTTCAACCAGTCTATTAGTGTTCAGCATGGTTTAGCTTTTCATTTAATTTCTTTTCCAAATAATGAATAGAGCTGAAGTCTATGGAATGTCACAGTCATACAGGTCAGCTCTTCATCTTCCATGATCTGTACATGCACATTTAGGCTTGTTGAGGCAACTAACAAATAAATAATAAATCATATAGCCTTAACAAGGATGGACCTTCAGGTTGCGCAGTGGCTCTGTGGTAAGTAGGGCTGGGCGATATCACTTCGAATCAATATCGCAATAAACATTACCTCGATTATGATTCATTAACAATTATTTTATGCCCTCCCTCCCACCGGATCGTGATGTGACCACCCCTACGCATGAGGAACATTACTCAGCACCAGTCAACAAGCGATTCTGCTATGGTAAATAAAACAATTCAAATGAAACACTAGTGAAAACATCACTAGGATTATTTTATATTCAATTCCTGCCATTAGATTCTTTTCACCCAAATCTTACACCATAAACCTTTAAAACATCCCATTGCATCATAATTTGCCGGAAGAACTTCTCTTCTGTCTGCAGGTGTGTGTGTGTTTCAGTCAGTTGCTCTTCACACATTTATTTAGTTATTAATGGATGTCGGATCATGAATCCGGCTCGTTCCGTTCACTTTAACTCTGATTTCCTGGCTGTGCGCATCACATTATGTCTTGTGTTGTGTAGCAGGTGAACTGCATGCGCAAAGAATGTTGGAGTTTTTTTCAATCTGTTTAAATACCTGTCTCCTAAAACTCTAGACAGACTCAAACAAACACACAGTAATCTTCAAGTCCTGTATGTGTTCCAATAACTTCTGATAAGTGTTAGTGTTTACTGCTAGCGTGTAAAGTGAGGACGGCACGGTACAACGTACCCGGGCCACAGCAGCAAAATGTATGTAGCGGAGACCTGACAGTTCATGAATGCACACATTGGGTAAAGTATTAACTAAATTAAACAACATGCGCAAGATTAAGTCGGTTAGAAGTTACACAGTAAATGATGTTTCGAGACATTTTGGTCAATTGCCCAACCCTAGTGGTTAGCACTTTCACATCACAGCAAGGAGGCCTGTCTGAGTATAACTTTCCTCAATGGTCCTTTGACCTGACCCTGCAGGTAAGGTGACCTATGAACTCTGAACTGGTAATATTTCTATGTACCCCTCCCCCTGGCCAGTGTGAGCTGGGACAATCTCGTCCTTTGTATTTATCCATTATAATGGATGGATGAGGTGGATTAAGAGAAATCGACAGAGTAAAAAGTTTAAATTTAAAAATGTTGAAAATTCATAGTACTAGTCAGAAACTTCTGGATCTGACCATTTTAGTTTTTCCCTAGTACTTGATATAAAAGTAAAACAATGCTGAGACAAATCAAATCCTTACATATCACATTTGGTTGAAGATACTCATTTAAAGACTTTTTAGGATCACCAATTACTCTTTCATTCCTGTGTATTATTAGGTGTGTTAAGATGGTACCTCAAGTAACATCTGCCATAAATACCGTACTTCGAATTGTTTTAAAGATATATCCCACAGAAAAGAAAGAGGATATAAATCAACATCTCGATTTCAGCCACACCCATATCACCAACAACCACTTCATTTAAACTTCCATATTATTATTATTTTTTTTTAGCAAAAGTGAACACATAAAGGACACATGGGAAAAGGGACCATAGTGGATCAACAAGGACAGTTATCTGGAAGTAAAAGAAAATGAGATAGACAGAGGAACAAGAATAGAGGGCAGCCCATTCCAAAAGTCCAGGCTGGGGTAAACTGTAAGTCAGTTAAGTCACCAAATTGGGGTCAGAATTTTGATTCCCACCCCAACGCACAATGCCACTTGAATGCCACAACTGCTTTGCTGTCCTATTAGTAGTAGCCTCATTTGGTGAAGGCAGCCACCACAGCCCATACCAGCTCATTGGTGTTAGCCTTCATGCTCTCCCCCTCGGGCTCCAGTTCCAACAGCTGCCGCACTCTCTTCATGGCCAGGTCATATTGGTCGTCTAGCAGCGGGGCAAAGGCATTTTCCAGGACATCGGAGGAATGAGCTAAGAAGATGAGTGCGAGCATCCGCTTGTCCATTCGATGAGGGTCATTCACCCACTTGTCCAGTACAGCCTCCTGGACCTTCTTGATGAGGCGCTGCTTGATGTTGTTGTTGGTCAGAGGATGTGTGGTCATATCAAAAAGCAGAAAGTTCTGCTTCTCAGTAGTGAGGACACCCTTCTCCACCAAGTTTTTGGCCAACCGTTCACGGACGTTCCTCAGTTGATAATGAAGCTTCAGGGGGTTCCACGTCTCTCCTAAAGGCGAGCAGATGGAAACATGAGACAGTCAGTGATGTTACAACATGCTTATGACAAAGGCTAAAGTGTGGAACTCAATTTGAAACTCTGCATTTACACAAGAAAAGTGCAAAATCATATCCCTATGGTATTTAAAGAGATAGTTCACCCAGAAATGAAAATTCACTCATTATCTACTCACAATTATTCCGATGGAGGGGTGGTTGAAGTGTTTACTTTAGGAGTTTCAGGGGTAAACAGCATTGCAGCAGAATCCTAAAAATTGAAGTAACTTGTGACCACTTCTTCAGACAATAAAACAATTGAAAAAAAAAACACATCATGCCTCCATACTGCTTGTGTGTTTCATCAAGTGTCACTGATAGCTTCCGACGCGGTGCTTTCAGGGACCATCAGAAATGGTAACGTCCGCTAACGTAGCCACTTAAAATATGGTGTAAATTAACCCGTTTCAAGTCAAATTATGAATGAATGAATGTCAGGGCTTGCTGACACTTGGATGACACCACATGAGCAGTATAGAGGCATGTTATGATTTTTCTGTTGTTTTATTACGTCTTAAGCTTTGGTCACTAGTTACTTCAATTGTATTGAATTCTGCTGAAACGCAGTTGACCCCGGAGATTCCAAAGGAGTTTTGTGGACTCAAACACTTCACCCGCCCCTTCATTGGCATAGTGGTGAGTAGAAAATGAGTGAATTTTTATTTTTATTTTCAAAGCAGTCATATTTGGTTATTTCAAAACAAATGCAGAAAGTAATCAAGCTTGAAATAGACTCCCCATTCTTCTCCAGCAGAGCTGTCCTCTTTGCAAACAATGTCAACAAAAAACATGTGGAAATACAGTTAATCACACAAGAGGCTTCTTACACAGCTGCTTGTGTGAATACAAATACAGTACACTTCGACAGTTCATTTTCTAAATGCTGTACTTTAATGTATATTTAAATGTTTTGATTTGCACTGAACTACAGAGATCCGCTGGACATTCTCCGGACTGGTTTAATGTGTGAATACAAATGTCCAAATTAGAGCCTCTGGACTTTCTACAGACTTTTTCCAGCTGGCCCCCAGGAAAAAAGTCCACAGACAGTCTGGAGGAGCCGAGAACACAACATGAGAACCTCCTCAGGATTCACCATGAGTGCGTGGGTGTGCAACAGACACGCAAAAAAGGAAAAAGAAAACAAATATCTCAGGATGAAAAAGCAGTACCATACATATAGAAGACACCAGTAAAGATGTCAAGAGAGCTTTTGGTAATAAACAAAAAAAATGTGATCTCGGTGGTGGAATTTATACACTGCACCACCCTTGCCTGAACGCTCTGAAGATTTCTGTGTTGTTGTGAACACGTCTGAACAGAGAACCTCCTGCTGTTTTGTGCATGTGTAAAACAACCTCCATAGTAAGTCCATATCCAATTCTCTGTACATCCTCCAAAGGTCTTGTCTAAAAACGGCCTTAAGAATGACAGCCATTGTGAAACTATTACTTGGAAATCTCTGGAAAACATTTACACCTGAGCCCTCAGTCATAGGGACTTTGAAAGCACCTCAAGATTATGTTTTTATCATCTTTGGCAGGGAGGCAGAACTTGACAAAAACACTGGCCCTATCGTTTGGGACGCACATGATAGTGTGCTGAGTGCATGTGCTCACTTGCCAGCCAGCCAGCCACCCACCTGACCTGGGTGAAAAAAACAGATGTTTCATTCCTTGTGCTTGTGAATTCCAAGTATAATTTGGCGAAGAACGTATTTACTGTCTTTGCTGCAGCCTTAAATCTGAGCAACACATGCACAAATTCTTACTTTAAAGCTGATCAGGAAAAAAATCACTATTATCAAAATACAATGTCCAATCAGCTGCTGTTTAACAGGCATTTGGTGTATGATATTTTACACATAAATATCTCCTTTCAATTTCATAATTCATACAAATAGCACTCAGTGTCAGTGTATGCTATGATGGCAGACATACACTGCCAGTCTAATCTTCAAACCACATGTGCTCAAAATTAAACTATGTACAAATAGAAGGAGGCAGCATGAATCTGTTTTTTGTCTAGATTACTGTACAGATACACCACAAGATTGAGGCTGTGATGCAGCTGAACTCACCACTGAGCAGTTCAATCCAACTCTGCACAGTTTCTGGTGGTTGAGTGTCTTTGATGTGTTTCAGGGCTTCATCCAGGAGCACGTCACCTGTTGGAGCATCTGACTTACAAATTACCTGCAAATGATTAGAGACAGTTATAAAGTGTAGTAATCAGAGGACAGCTGCTGAAATAGATGCAGAATTTATCAAGGCCCTACTCACACCATACACCGCTGATTCGTATATTATGTGCTATGCAGTTCATTCACTCAACTAGATGAACTATAATTAACTATAATTATACTTAACTATAATATATTGTTGGTCTATAAAATGAGAAAACAGTGAACAATGCCTATCAATGTACAAGAGGCGCAGACTGACTCTTAAAATGTCTTCTTTTGTTAAAGCCACAGTCCAAAACCTAGAGATGTTCACTTTACAATGCAAAAATCTTCATATAAGAGACACTGCAACCTGAGAATGCAGGGCATTGTTTTACTTGATTAAAATACAAGATCTGTTGTCAATTAATTGTTTGGATTCATAAAAACTAATACAATTGAAAATGACTCACTCCCAAATTCATTCACTCTCTTTCACTCTGCAATTTTAATTTTGTGTAGCCCATAATGATGATAGGATATGTAAGTTACAAGCTAAGATGTGTATAGATTGTTGTTATAAATCAGTTGGAGTTGGTCATGTTTTTTTGCAAATAACTGCAGTGTACTGTACAGATTGATGGCTAAATGCTCAAGCCCTAGCCAACATTAGTTAAGGAGATGACAAAAAAAACAGCGCACCAGCCAGATGGAAGAAAATAAAACCCCTTCTCTGACCAAATATCTAGTAATAGCATAAGCAGAAAAAAATGTCCTACCTTCCTAGCCAGCAGACTTTTCCTCCTCATGCCACACGTCTCCAGCTGGAGGCGTCCTCTCAGGGCCAGTTCTATCAGCATGCAACCTCGCAACCCGGATGAAATGCAGTCATTCCAGAACGAGGTGTAGCCCTACATTGTGGAAACACATCCCAGGACCTGGTTTGTCAGTTCCAATGAAATTACAATTGAACAGCCAGAAGTATTCCTGGTGGTTATGCTATTGCCCTGGTGAGTCAGATAAGCGTAAACACAGACAGAAACAACTTAGTGCTTTAAGTCACAAATGCATGTAGCACCCTTAGAGGAAACGATAGTAACACATTTTGAGAAGATTGGTTCAATCAGTAGAGATGCCAAACATGAAAGCTGGCATTACCTTTGGACAATAGTGCCCTTATAAATGTGTTTGCTTCTTCAGGGATCTGAATACAGACTGGAGACTGACTACTGCAAATCAGATGTTGCACAATGTTTGTGTGACCACACCATCAAGTCACTTTTTGATTCGTTACTTTTAAAGGATGTTGACCTCCCACCTGTTGAAACCTCCAAACAGACTTTTTGGATTACAAAAGCACTTGTCACACCATGGTTGGTGGCGGAGAGTCTCAATTCAAATGATAATAAAACCTCTATAAGTGGCTGCACCTTTGATGATATAGTAGTGCAAATAGTTATATTTGACTTAATTAGGGTGCAAATATAAATACTACTTTTCACTTGGGCTTTAAATGTTTCTTTCTTTTGACCAGTGCCAATTAATCCTATTCAGAGATTCGAAGAGTAACATTACCTTATCATCTCTATCTATCATCTGGCTCTTCTGATTGTTTAGCGATAAGTTCACGTTGCAGCAGGACAATGGTTCCACTGTCCAACGTTGTTCAACATTACTGGATACTAACATTTAGACTTCCATCATTAAACTGTCTGTTTTGAGTTTCACTTCCTACTGTGACTCCTCTTCTTCCTACACAAGTCAACTGCACCAATACCACAATAAACCCCGTCTGTCACAAGACAATATACGCTTATCTGAAAACAACCGCTGATCAAATGTATGCTAGTATTATTGTTGTTAGCTACAGCTAGCATCGCAGCGTTCAACCACTGCCAACCTTAACTAAAGCCATGTTGTTTGGGGACGTTCTAGCTAACGTTAGCCTGGGCAACAGCCCATCGTCTTGCGTTAAGATTTACCTTAAATTTACAGACCGTGTCTATCTGCCATTACCTCTCGGTCCTTCAGGCCTAACAGCAGCACTTCTTCCATCAAGGTGAGACGTGTTTCTTTCGAGTCTCCGGTATCGTCGTCTTCCTGCTCGTCTCCTCGGGGCTCGTGGTCCTCCTCGGCCGACGGACGGTCTTTGTCGGCGGCGTTGCGCGAGGCTTCTGTCCGCCTCTGCACGAGGCCCGAACTCCGCTGAGTCAAGGAAGTCATGTCTGCCGGCTGGGTGAGCTGAACGACGACGAAAACAAGACGCCCCGCACGACGCTGCCCGAGATGTTTACTCCACTTACTTGATGTCAACCATATAACAGTAACCTTCAGTGTTTGGCAGACTGACTACTGCGGCCTGGGGACCCTTGACATTTGGAAAACTGTCCCTCTTCCTCGACTTGGTCCGCAGCAGTGTAGCGTCTATCTAATATGGCGCCGTGTGGTAAATGTTGTACCGAACTTATCCAGCAGGTAGAAGCCGAGATAACCTGAATATCAAGTAAGTTTAACGTTTCACACCGAACACTATGTCAGAATATGTTAAAATATATGATTAGAGTTACACTACTATATAAGAAGTGATACTCTGCATAATAACAATTAACGTGCTAACATGTTGACAGTATCTTATCTACACAGTGTCGGTCTAAGTCAGGGGTCACCAACCTTTTTGAAACTGAGAGCTTCTTCATGGGTACTGAGTCATACGAAGGGCAACCAGTTTAATACACTCTTCTGAAATAACACATTTGCTCAGTTTGCCTTTAGTTATATATCATTATTAATGATAAATGATACTCATCTATGTAAAGCCACTGATCACGTTAATTATTTCTCACAATAATTATCAGGACTTAACAATGTGGGAAACAGATAATATCAATATTCAACACTTTATTTCTATTAATCTCAGCAATTGTTTCAATTTTCAGATGATCACTTCTACAACGTTTCACAACAAAACATTACACTAGCCAATGACAAACCCTTTTAACAAATCATAGTCAATAGTCAACTTCAATATGAGAATAAAAATTTGACAGTATGAAAAATAAATAATTTAATTTAATTTGAAACGCATATCAAATTTTAGATGCAGCTCACTGGTGAGTTGTATTATTTTTAGAACAGGCCTGCGGGCGACTCATGTGGTCCTTGGGGGCTATGGTGCCCGCGGGCACCGTGTTGGTGACCCCTGGTCTAAGTCATCAGTTTCTTTAACAAGATATTTAATAAATCATATTTATTATAATACTTGTACTATACTTGCCTATGGTATTAACACTACTCACACAACTGCTCAGCTATCCCTACTTTACTTCCTGAAGGCTTTCTGAGGTTTTGAGAATCTTTCTGTCTTCTATGGTGCTCACAGAATTAAAAAGAAATCTCTTAAAAAAAAAACATTCAAGTGTCTCCTTTCAGACAATACACCAGAAGGTCCAATGACTGGCGCCCATGCACCATTTATTCTGTGGAGTTTCTCCTGAGCACAACACACCTGCTTTTATGGTAAATGTTGTAATGTTATGTATCTAGTCATTCATTTTCAATATCCCTTTCATTCTGCATTACATTGTCCCTACTGTCCCATGACCATATTGTGGCTCACTGAGACCACATAGGGACTGCACTGTACAACCTGTTGGAAAAGATAGTCCAGGTTCCAAACCATCAAGTGATCAGTGTGTTCAAGTGAGAAAACAGCACTTGTCAACTTGTCTTTCTAGCCCATGCAGTCTCATCATTAGGGTTAAGTTCAGTTCATAGGATGTTGCCTCTTGTTAAACCCTATGAGCCAATTTGTAATTTGTGAATAATACAATTGATTGATTCATCTCATCATCTTAMTACTTTTTAAAAAGTTGAATTTCTTTGTAAACAGTCTTCATAGCCTTGTCAACAGTATTCAGGTCCGTGTTTCTGAAAGACACATCCACCCCCCGCCTGCCTGTCAGGAACCTGGAGAAACATTACCTTCTACTTTTTTCCAGAAGCACACTGCATCCACCCATTGGCTATATGCTCACGTCACCCTCCAGAGTCTCTGGGTTTTGCATTTACCAAAAAACAACAACTTGGAAACCTTATCTTTTAATTATGGCTTCTGTGTATCAGAATTATGACTCATGGCATGATATTTTCCTCTCTTGGAACAAAAAGTCTCAAACAGTATAAAAATGACAAGACCAGGTAATACCATGTTCTGTGACCTGTCAATTTCCATGGTATAATTATGATTTATGGAGCAAATGTTTTTATCATACTTAATTGCATACTTTTTCACCACAATATCAGCATATATGCTCATTTCAGATGTATGAACTCTTTTAGTTGCTCTTGAAGGCACAATGATTTCAAATATACTGATACCATTACTCTGTAAATATCTCATTATTTTCTTGTGACGGTATGAAAAGTAAATTTCTAGTTTGCTTACTTACATGTATTTGTATGTTGTTTAGAATGAATGTTCCGTACATGCAGTTGAATAGTAAAATATAATTTGGTTTTTGATTCCTTTAAAGGTACAGTGTGTAAAATTTAGGGATATCTAGTGTTGAAATTACATGTTGCAGCTGAACACCCCTCACCTCAACCTTTCCTTCCAAACATGAAAAAGAAACTGTGGTAGCCTTTAATTGTCATAAAAAGTCAAAAGGTGTTTAGTTTGTCCAGTCCGGACTAATGTAAAAGACATGGCGGCCTCCATAGAGAGGGTCCCCTCGATGTAAATATAAAGTATTTAAATATAAAGGGTCTCTTCTAGGTTAAAGAAAACTACAATTCATACCATTTAGATGAAACGAACTACTGAAAACATCATGAGGATTATTCTGCATTAAATTTCTGCCAATAGATCCCTTTCACCTAAATCTTACACATTGGACCTTTAAGTAAATCTGTTGTTCCACTTTGATGAGGTTATGTACCTCGGGTTTCTCCTTATTGTCCATCGAGTTGGCAGAGAGCTTTGTATATGGGCACTGTGATTGATTCAGGTTTGATGCAAGTTTGTGTTTAAACAGACTATACAAACACACATTTATTCTTTGTATTACATACCAGGCACAAATTGGAGTACACTGTGAAAAAGTTATTTAATAACCTATGCAGAAAACACATATACTCTTGAAGGGGCTAAGTGTAACAGCAGGCCTTCAGCCCTCCCAAAGCCATGGACAAGCAACAGAACTGAAACCTTTGAAATAAGATGTATAGACAATCATGATTGATCATGGCTGAAATAAGCTGTCAGGGGGCTCCGTTACAGTTGCCAGCTTTGCCCAGTAATCCAGCCTCGTATTTGAAGGGGTGGTGGCAGATGCACTAAGCAGTGAAGCAAAAGCTTAACCAGTGTTTCTCATGTACAATCCAAATCCAATTATTTAACTAGGTCATGAACATACCACACCAAACTTTTTTTAGGATTTTCAAGTAAGAGCGTTATTTACCAAATTATGTCAAAACTCGATTTATAAAAAAATGCTATAAAGTTATGGGCCTGTAAAAGAATTCAAATGAACCGAGCTGGACTCAGGCGCTGAAAACAAAAGCACGTCAACAAACCAACTGACCAAAACTCAACGTACCTCCTACACACTGAGCCAAAAGGTCATATATACTGGGGGATCAGCCCGAATACACACTAAAGGGACATAACAGAAAATCATTAATTAACAATGAGCAGTTGGTCTATAAATTAAAATAAATATCTAATTATCAAAAATAAATACTGTACTTAATCCTCCTGAAATACAATGTGTATTTAAGAAAATAGCTCTAATCCCTATTTGATGTTGCACTTGGTGCCGCCTGATTGGCCCTTCCTGTATTTACATTCTCTGCTTCCTGGAGTCCATCCTTTAGTCAGATGACCCCAACAGTGCAAGCACAAAATCACTTCAGCATGAGTAAAACAAAACTGAAAATGAAGACAACTTAATACAAAATACATCATTGTTGAAAAGTTACTAAATGTGTGCACTATAGAACTAATGGATTTCTAACAGAAATAATAATGTTAGATAATGTTATTTATGTGTGCGTGCACACTCGCAATGTGGGTGTAAAACATGACAAACCTAAGAAAACATATCAGTGCAAGGGGTTATCATATGTCACGTCCGTGTGGTTCATCACTCAACTTACCAGGGTCGGCTGTGGCTCAGGAGATTCAGAGTGGGTCGTTCACTAACCAGAGGTTTTGGTGGTCTGTTCCCAGTGTCCCCAATTCCACGTGCTTTGGCAAGATGCTGAACCCAAATTTGTCAGAGGCAGATACACTGTAACAATGTGTGTGTGAATGACAAAACTGTACTGTAAAGCTCTTTAAGTGGTCATCAAGACTACAAAAGCCGCCTTATAAATAAAGACCATCAATGAAACAATGACTCATGATACAACATAGGATTTAAGAGAATTTTGTTTATTTACTGTTAATAAAAAAAACACACAGCATCAACACTATTATCACAGTCAGTTAAGTAACAACACTGATCCTTATTTCACAGTTATACACATTACTCTTTCCTGAACCAAAGGATTTAGTCACATTCTTGCAAGCCGCACACGGAACAGCTGACATTATGTAGCCTATTACCAAATGCATGAAGGCTACATTTTATATGACTGTTTAATCATCACTAAGTAGCGGTCATCATAAAAAAATCAGTTTGTTATAGTGCGAATAGAACAGCAAGTACCCTCACCTGCACATCTGCTCTGTTAACTCTGTAGTGACCCAGACTCACCAAGACTGGACAGTTTAAGACTGAAGAACGCTGCCTGGTCTCATGAATCTGGATTCCTGCTGAGGCTGCAGATGGTAAAGTCTCAACCTGGAGTCAACAGAGTAAATCCATGGACCCACATGTTAGGAATCACAGAGTGTGACTCATAATGTGCAGAACAAGGGAGACAAATACAAAAAAGACATTTCAGCATATGGTCTTTGACAATACTTTCAGAATTGTCAATGCAGGGTAACAAACAACAAGACCAACTACCAAACATAGGTGCAGGGGCAAATGTGAAGGGGAATCTAGTGTCCAGGAAAGGAACAAAATGTTTCCAGTGCAGGGGATCCAGGGGAGTGGAGCAGAGTTTGTCCACGGGGGGCTCGCTAAGCATGACTGGCTGAGTAGGTGAGCAGGTGATCGTGAAGCAGATGAAAACAAGGCAGGGTTAGGACCTATGGTTAGGACACAAGTTAACAGGCACAAAAATACAAACTTTCAAAAAAGTATTCAAAGACAAACAAGGCAAAAATAAAAGGTAAGCTGACATTCTGGTAAGCAACGTGATTGGACTGCTCCTTAAATACTGCAGGTAAGTGAATGGGTAAATACCGATTTATACTGAATGAGAAACGTGGTAGAGTAGACAGGAGGAGCAGGAACCCAGAGCTCATATCCAGCCACCAGCACACACTATCAGGGAGAAGGAATTAAGATGTGCGTAACAGTTAGGCCTGGTTGCCAGTTTAGAATAACTGT